TCGTATATTTTTAGTTGGAAAACCTAACCGGGTTTGAGGTTTTAGGGTTGCGGGTTTTTAAGGTTTTGGGTTTTAATGTGTTTGGGTTTGGGGTTTTTGGTTGTGGGCTTAACCCCCTAAATCCATAACACCTTAAACACAAAAACCCTTGAACCTTAAATTTCAACCCTAAAACCAGTAGGGTTCAGGATTCTTGCGCGTTCAACCTTAAAACCTAACCGTGAAATCATTAGGATTAAGGATTCCTCTATTTTTCGATCGAAAACTTGACCGGGTTTTAGGGTTTTGTTTTTTGTTTTGTGGTTTCAATTTTTTGTTTAACTCCTAAGCCAACAAGACCTTAAACCTTTAAACCCTTGACCCCTACAGTTCTTTTAATAAGGGCGCAACCTGCTCCTCCTGGAGTTCGGCTTCGCTGTGGACATCTTCGAAGACCTCGGCTTCCTGAGCTTGGACTTCAACATCTGGGACTGCCAATATAGTTCACGAGTGTCTCTGGAGCCAAAAGCCTGCAGCGATGATGTGATGCAAGTGAGGCGCAATGAGACCTGTGCCTGAAACCAACGATTCAAATTCAGGGTTGAAGACGGCAGGCAGCAGCTTCTTTTTAGCGGCCACGGCGTCAAGTCTCACAAGTCGGATTCCCAGAGCTCATGAAGCCACAGGATCCCACACACTCCATGAATTTCAAATTCAATAACCGCGGATGCTTGGACCAGCTCATCGGCCTCGTCGTCAAAGCGAACAGGGAACCAATGAAATGACCAGCTCCCTTCTTGTAGAATTGCCATGGCCTCGTCAACGTGGGGGTCCGGGTAGTTCAAATCTTTAACAGCTTCGAGACTGTTTTCGTTCATGTTCCTCTCGCGCAAAATGATGCGCAAGAGCCACGGTCTTGCAGGCTCATCCCAGCGGCCTATCAAGCGACGCCACCACTGCTCGGAAAGAATTTGGCGGCGACCACGGTAGCCGAGCACATACACCTCGGCCCTGACTTCTCCGAGTAAGCCCGGGCACTCCAAGGTTCGCCCACTCAGTGCCATGAGTGGCGCGGCCACCAAACGCCAGATAATTCTTGCAGAGTAAAGGAATGCCTGGCTGGGCAACATGAGGGTTCGCGCGTCCTGCGCGGTGACCCGCTGCAAATACAGCGTTGGGACCTGCAGGCGCTGGATGAGCTTCTCCGCCGCTGCAACAGAAGCGCCCACCGCTTCTGCAGGCACAAATGATTTGGACACAAGCGCCACACGCACCTGTGTAGGCAAGTCAAGAAATGAAAACACCGTGAACATAATGTCTGGCTTCCACCACTCAACCATTCCCATGTGCGAGAGCGAGTGTTCTACACAAGGGCAATAGGTATGAAGCGCAAGCCTTGAATTGGAAATGGCGGCTACACGTAAAAAACACCAGTCGACGCTTGCCACCAACCAGCCCCGGATGCCTTCGCCAGCGGCCGGCCCACGCCCAGCATTTTTTCCGCTAGCTTGTGGTTAGCGAGCCGCTGCTGGTGAGCGTCTACAAAGACAACTTTGCACGGTGATAGCGGGCGGAGCCTTAGGAATAAAAGTAGAGATCTCGGAAGTAAACAATGCCATAGACGCCGTGCACTTTAAATTCTAAAACTGCCTTGGCTTCAATCAGCTCGTCCACAACATCATCGAAAAGCCAACGAAACAAATGGAATGACCAGGTTCCGCCCTCCAGAATTGCCATGGCCTGGCTCACATCGGGGTCCCAAGGGTTTAAAGCCGCGATTGCGGCAGGGATGTTCTCAGACAAGTTCCTTTCGCGCAGGATGCCCCGCAGATGCCGTTGACTTGCGGCCCTGTCAAAGCGACCGAGTCTCTGCCGCCACCAGCGCTCCGACAAAATGCACCGCCGCTCGCCGCAGCCTAGAAAATGCACTTCGGCAATGGAGTCTCCAAGTAGGCCAGGGCATTCCAGCATCCGATCGTGCAATTGCAGCAACGGAGTAGAAACCACGCTCCACATGGCCTTGGCTGACAAAAGAAATGCCCGGGCCCGGGGCAGTGTGGCAAGCAGGGCGAAGGGCGCCGCAGAGTCAGGCTGCGCAACCACATGAGAAGCGAGCTTTTTCATAGCTGCAACTTGCACGGCCAATATTTTTGCAGTCACCCATGTCTTTGACGCGAGAGCGAAGCGTGCTTGTGTAGGCAGGTCGAGGTACGCAAACACATTGGTCACAATGTCTGGCTTCCACCCACCGGCAGCCGCCATGCCAACGCGAACAAATTAGGTTCCCCGTCGAAGGGACAAGCTTGATTTATGTATAGGGCTGCGCAGACACGGCCCTGAGGAGCGCTGTGTCTCCTCAATTTGACACGAGGCCTGAACGCCCGAACCCTACGATATTTCAAGCAGTCTTCGCTTTCTCTTTCTCTCCCTCTCTCACACACACATCGCTCGCTCTTTCTTCTCCTTTGCTTCTGCGCCTCTGCCTGTTCTTGCCGGCGCTTTGGCCCGCGTGTTTTCCTGTATGGCGGACCGAGCGTCAGAATTTGCCGGGCTCCTGGCATACAGGTGCAAGTCGGCAACTCGCGCACAATGTCAGGCCAGGAGAAATGATCAGGGAAGCGCTAGCAGCAGGTGTGAGACGCAATGGACGATTGCAGTTAGTTCTGGGGCCCGCACCAAGTTGCCAAGTTCTTGCCTTAGAAAATGCCGATTCGCGCATGAAAGTGCAAGACCACAGTGAGCAGAGGCAGCTGTAAGGCCCGCGCGGCCTGAAATGCGCAATCATTTCCGCCGGCAATCCGGGCAAAGCCGCTTGCGTTTGCTCGGGGCTTGTCGCTCAAGCCATCTTCGGCTACACTTTCTGCAAGTATGTTCGTTGTTCTTGTGCGGAGCCCGTTGCACCGAGCAATTGAGGCAATATTGTCGCTGGCGCTTCGTCTTGTTGTTTTGTGCCTCGCAGCTGAAGATGTGGTTGCAAGCGCGGCAAGTGAACCAGCCATGATAGGTGTGAGGGTGCTTCTTGAAATGCGCTTGGCAAGCTGTGCACGCAACGAAGGCCGCGGGCATAGTGGCCATGACGGGCTCGAACTCGTTGATGTGCTTGGACACGTTGCATCTTGCGCAGGTGAGCAATTCTGCTTTCTGCAAGCATTTCAAACATTTTGGCTCACGCGCAGTCTCGTCCTCGAAGGCAAATGTGTCTAGAGCGAAGAGCGACAAAAGTTCTGCAAGATTTAAAATCAAACCGGGGCTGAGACCTTGCAGTCCTCCAAGTCCGCCAGCTGCGCTCGTGGGAAAGCAGCTTCAATTTTCTTGCGCTTGCAAGCGCTGCACGGTATCATTTTCGAAGCTCCTGTCGACAAAGCCCGCTTCTTGAGTCCTGGGCCAAGCTGGATTTTGTATAGCACTGTCTCACAGTCATCCCGCGGTAACAAAATGAAACACACATCGCTTTGGTTTCCCACGCCTTTGGCGCCTTCCTTGCACCCACTGCAGGTAGCTGAGCGGTTCGCGCGGACCAGCTCCCAATCTTTGTGCTCAAAGCAGTCGTAGGTACGAATCTGCTTGCAGGAGGTGCATGTCGCATAGGGCAGGCGCGCTTCATGAATGGCTTCCCAATCAAACTCTTCCCCCCGGAGCTTCTGCAGCAACAGCGAGGGCCCTTCGGGAGCGCCGCGTTGGAATAGCCACAAGGGAAAAGGCCTTAGGATGAGCACGTCGTCGCGATGTCGCACGCGCGACGCGCCCACCACGCCAAAGCTCTTGTCCACGCGGGCCTCCACATTCAAGTCCAGGAGGGCAGCCAACAAAGTCTTGCCTTGACTGCAGTGCGCGGTCATTGCGAAGCCGGGGATAAGTGGCAGTTGACGCCTGGCCACGCCCAGCAGCGATGTCTTCCGCGCTTTGTCCAAATACCAAGTGCGCGCGATGGGGTAAATGGGGTAGACGCCATCTTCGTCAATACCATCCAACCTCCATGTTGCGTTGTCGAATTTCACATAGACCACAGTGGGGATGCGATCGTTGTGATGCCACACCCATGAATGGACATAGCCCTTGCTTCCTTTGAGCAGGCGTTTGTCATCGGATCTGTCCAAATGTTCTGTCAATGCCACAGGCATTCCCAGTGCCAGTGGCAATGCTCCCGGCAGCCCTTCGGTATCTTTGTCATGATATTGCAACCACCTCGTTTCGATGGAGCTGCTCACACATGCTTTGCTGTTTGCAATGCCTGACAAAAACACGGCGTGCGTGCAATGTGGGGCTTAGGAGGCTTGAAGCTTTTGCCTGCCAAGTCGCGAGAGCTTGACGTCTTTGTCCAACGCTTGGTTCTGCAACACTGCTGCAGAAGCTTTGTCGACGGCGAAGGACCAGTGCAAGGGGACACCAGCGGCTTTGGCGAAGTGCTTGGCGCGATCTTTGTTGATCTGATACTTGGCATCATTGTTGGCGACGATGGCCGGCGCAGGCAGAAATTTCGATGTTTGGAGCCTCTCATCATCTGGCCCAGTGATGACTCGCCTGCGAGACGCCCGCTCTTCAGGGGAGAGAGTGCAGTTTTCCACGGGTAGGCCGTGCAAGTATCTATGGTTGGCTTCAGAAAGGCAACCTGCCCGAAGTTGATCGCAAACTTCGTTCCACCATTCATCCTGCGGCGAACGGGTTGCGTGTGGGTTTATTGGGGCGTGGGGTAAAGGGCTAGCGGCTAGTGTCTTTACAGCGGTGTTGCGCTCTATGTCCTTGCAACGTTCTCTTTGGCAGAGCTCCACAATGCCCCGGGTAGACTCCCAGAGCAGCGCCTAGCCTTGCTCCTTCAAGGCGTCTGGTTGAGCGGCGTCACTTGCCCGAAGCGGTCGTGGCACGCTAGCCAAAAAGCCACCTTCTGGCGGAGGCAATTGAAAGAAATCGCCTCCCATGAGGACATTGACGCCGCCAAAGGGCCTGCGTGGGCGGTTGTGCCAGAAGCAACCAGCAAACGCAACAAATATCGTAAAGACCATGGACCGTGCTTAAAGCTGTGATCATATTGCCAGGCCTTGCCTGACTTGTCCGCCCTGGTCAAACTTGAAAGCGTCCGCGTCGGGCTTGACGGATCGAAGGCGATGATCAGTTCGAGCTAGAAGCCGCGCTCCCACCATACTGACTTCGTCGATGAAAAGCCAACGCCAATATGAAATCCGCTTGGCAGTGGTAGCCGCAACCGCTCCAGCTTCACTGGCATTGTATTGGTCTGTGTTGAAGCCACAGGCGTGGTGAATTGTCTTTCCGGCAAGCGCGGACGCATTGACTGCCTGAAAAGCGACAACTTCGTAGTCGATGCCCTGCTTGTATTCAAGAAGGTTGAAAATCTCCCGCAAGAAGAGCAAACAATGCGACTTGCCTGTGCTAGGTGGCCCATGCAAAAGGTGGAGCATTGGCTCTCGGCAATATTTGTTCGCATCTTCGGCGCTGATCAAATTGTGCTCAACCAAAAGCCGGTCGACGACCAGGCCCAAGAACCGATGCTGCTCTGCATTCGTGTTCTCCTGCGCACGGGGGCTTCGAAGCCAGTCTCGCAACAAGGCCGCTGTGATGGGGCACCGCTTTCGAACAAGTGGGTCGCCTACAGCCACGCCCAGCAAGCCTGCAGCGCCCTTGTTTGCCTGGGCTGTGGCCTTGTTTCTGGAAGCTTGCGCGGACTTCTTTGCCAAAGCGTGGTCTTTGATTGTTTGCTCAGAGTCCATCGTCTTGGAAGCAATTGGCGATTGTAGCTGCGCTGGCCTTGCGCCTGGAGACGGTCGCAACCAAATCGAATTGGACAATTTGAACATTTGCCGGGTCATATCATGTAGCTTTGTGGTGCCACTTCCGTCTTGTTCTGCCTCTGCTGCGTCCAAATCTCCCGCTGCTTCCTTGGTTGGCCGGCTGCCTTTGATGTGCGTCAGCGTGGCCTCAAGCATTTCCGCTTCATCCAGTGCGAGCACCACATCATCTTCCACCCCTTCGTTGTCACTGTTCTCGACTAACCCATCCACGAGGTGGTGTTCTCTAGGCAAGCAATACGCGAAACAAAAATTGAGGACAAAGCGCTTCACCTCCTCACAGGGGTCCATGCCCAAGCATGCGTTCCCAGTGTCAGCAATAGGAAATAGTATTAAAATCCAAACCACAAACCCTATGAAAGATTTCCTGGCAGCGCGCAGCGTTTGCGTGCAATGTTTCTTTATTGCCCTGGTCCTCCGTCGGGAAGCCATGGCGCTGGACATGCATGCACAAGGCTTCGCGCCAGCTTCGGGCCCCATCAACCCAGAGTTTTTCGACAAAGGGGACGTTGGCTGATGCATCTCGTGCGTCATTGACCCAGGGAAAGAACAGCACCAGGATGCGCATAGCTTTGTCTTCTTCGCTCTTGCTGCCTGGCGCGTGAGCCCTTGAGCTAAACTTTTTTTGCCACGCATGTTGTCACAAAAACTTCACCGTGAAAGTAAAGCAACTTGCGCCTTGCGCCCCATAGATGACGGGCACGTGAGGACGTTTCCGGGGCACAACGACCCAATCACGGCGATAAGGTTGCCCGAGCTCGCTTTGCCCCAGAGGCAACCAAGAGGAGTCGGCCCCGCCTTCTTCACGAATTTCATAGTGCAAGCCGGCCACCAATTGTTTGCGTTGGGCGACCGCCTCCGCGCCCTTGGCTGTGAGCTTGGCGTGATATTTGCCGGGCATAAGAATGTCTCGCCCATAGGCTTCCGGCCTAAGTGGGTGAGTTGCCAAGGCAAAGTCGAACGCTCTTGCAAACTCACACGCGGACAGCATGTGCACCTGGCGGCGTTGCTCGCGGGTTCAACGAGAAATTGTGGCAAAAATGGACGAAATTCAAAAAAATGCATCAGGTTTCGGCGCTTTGGCCACGTCCATCGCCTCTGCGCGCTGGCCCCGTGCGCCGTACATAGTCCAGAAAGGGCACGCAATGATTGCCCTTCGGGCCTCGCAGCGCTTGTCTACGATAGCCCTGGTCACTTCCTTTGGCCATGGCTCGTGCGCCGCTACGGCGCGCAACAGCTGCAACGGGTACGCCAAAGCGATTTCGGTCAGCTGCGCTGTTTTGATGCTTTCAGCGCGGGTAGGGTCCTTCTGCGCGGCATTGAGGATCAGGTTCGTGCATTCCACTGCCCCACGGCACACGCCGCGAGCGAATAGATCGGTCGCAAGGCGCTTGCTCACTCTTGCGCCCAAATAGCCTGTAGGCTTCCCGCTGAGGTCCAAATATAATTCATTTTGGCCTTTCATCCATTCCTTGACTTCTCGCGTAGCAATCTTGAGGCGCTTGTTGGCATAATCGCATTGGTACCCAACCTCTGAACGAGGTTGCGCTGCGGCAGTCCTATGTATGATTTTTGTATGACGCGGCATGGCGTTGCAGCTCGTAAAACTAAATGTTCGCAACAAAAACTGCACCGCGCCTGCGCAGATTGGTTGATCTGTGCCTCCCGAACCAAAGTCCAAATTGGCATCTTCTGGTCACATTGCTGGTCGCAAGAAGTATTGTGTGTGATAGGTGTAATAGGGAAGCGGAAGGGCAATTGCACATCGCCATTGCACCGGAGAGCAGCAAGAAGAGCAGGATGGTTCCCATTGAGGTTCGGGTCGTTGCATGGACCCCACGGCATGCCCACCATGCTTCGTTTACTTTTGCACGGCATACCCTTTGCCCCTGCTAAGCCAGAGCAAATAAGGATAGCTTCGCTTGTAAGCCAGGCATCTCTTGGAAAGAAGCTCTTGCATTTCGTGTGGTCCTGCCACATTGCGCGAATGTCCACAACATGGCGCTAACTGATACAGATCAAAAGCAAATTGGCACGTGATCAGTAACATTGCCTCAGGAAGTCCTTGGGGTCTCGACAATGGTCCAAAGGCTGCCGTTTGCCGTTTTCGTCGGGTACATGGACGTGGTGCTGCTTGTGCTTCTGCAGGGCTTCGGCGTCTTCGGATAGATAAGCAGCGAGCCATTCTGGAGCAGGCATGGCAGCGTCGCTCTGATAGGAAGGCCTGCTTAGCATTAGGCTGGAGCCCCTGTACTCTGGCCATTGTGCTTCCACTGCGTCTCGTTCTTCTGTCCAAGATTCGGGGTCACGGTAGACCTTGCGCGTGACGTGCGCTGAATAGTCCGAATATTTTCGCAGCAGTTCCAGCAGTTGCTCTTGACTTTCATTGACCAGTTCGCTCAATGGCTTGAATTGGTGGTAGCATTGTAAGAAGAACTGGCCATGTAGATGGTACGAGCCACTCTTCTGGCATTCCAGCGAGCCAAACGCGGCATCGAAGCGACCAAACACGCCGCCTGCTGCTGTAGCGTTGCTCCCAAACGCATCGGTGCAGGGGCAATTTGACTTAGCGCAATCAGGGCAGCGCGGGCAAAGCCTGATGCCAAAAATGTGGCGAAACGCCAGCCCAACCAATGCGAGGAAGCCGTTCAGGCAGGCGAGCGGGTCTCGGGCAAGGATGGACTTCCGCTCGTCGTAATCGGGCAGGGCCTGCGGAGGGCTGAGGCCAAGGTTTATGTGTTGATCCTAACAAAAATCAAATCTTCTACGGTGTTTCGTGCGCAGAGCAGCCTAGCCTCTGCCAACGCTTCTGGCGATAATCGAAGGAAATCAATATCTAAGGGCGGCAGCGTTCTCTGGTAGAAGGCCTTGCACTTGTCGTCATTGATTGCCGGATCACTCTGGCGCGCCCGGGCCATTCGCAGCATGATTGTGCTGTCGCGCTCGGAAGGTGAGAACGTGAAGAAGCAAGCAAGGCCATATGGCACCCGGTAGCTATGAGTTTGATAGCGCATGGTCTTTCGAACTTCATGGGTTCTTGGTACTGTGCGGGTTCTTGCTTCTGTATTGCTCAAAACTTTGAGGGCTGCAGGTGACAAGTGCGGCGCGTGACGCAGCTTGGTGAAATCTCCAGCAATAGCTTTTTCCTCCCCATTGATGTCCACATACCTCAGTTGCTTAAGCGAAAACCACAGGGCCAAACCTATCAACCAACTACAAACAGCTACAAAACGCGTCATAGCGGCATAGGCCCAAGTCGTCCGTCCTTTTTTAAACCAGCAACTTCCCAGCCCCGCTCGCTCACGTCCAAATGCAACCCAAAAGCTTGCCACACCTCAAGAGCTGGTAGATGTGCTCTGTGCCTTCTTGAATTTCCTCATTTGTGAGCATGCGGCGGCCGGGGCCAAACTCATTAGGGACAGAAAAGATATGCGAGTTCTGTTGCAAGTTGATCTTGGTGCGGAATAAGTAATTCCAGAGGGTAGGCGGAAAATTCCAATCGCGCCGAAATTGAGATGCAACTTGCCTTTGCATCGCGGCCCCCCATGCTTCAACGCCAACTTCCGGTGCTTCTGGATGGCAAGCTTTCCGCTTAGAGATTTTGGCAGTGCCATCGTCCTCAAAAGCGCAAGGCCGCAAGATTAGATTGATTGAGCAAATCCCTGTCTTGGTGTAGCTACGCCGTCGTGCGTGGAAACCAAAGAAATGTGCAATATATGGTCCAATCAATCGCCGCCAAGCAGCCAACCCGCCTGCAAGCTTTTGAACATCAGGCCCAGCTGTGGCGTATGGAAACAAAAAGCAAAAGGCGATGCACCAGTAGCAGGTGTCAAACTGGTCCAGGAGCTTGTTGCCCGTGCGGATCTCCAGGGGATGCACGCCGAAGGCGCCGCGCTCGGCTTCCGATGTCATGTTTTCCTTCAACTCGTCGATGGCCGCGGCCTGGACTTCGTGTGCTTGGTGTAAACTGTGACCCTCAGCAACAACCGCTCGAGGACGCTGAGTGGAGAAGGCAGCACCTGGCGCGCTGGAGCGTGCGAGTCTGCGATTGACGAGCGCTGGAAAAGAAGCATTCGGGCCTGCAGCTGCAATGTTCGCATGCATTCCATCAGCTGGCGTGGCTGCCTTTTGTGGCTGGAGTTTGTTGGCGCCGTCGTCAACTTCGTTGATGATTTGCAGGACTTCAGGGGGAATTCCGTCTTCTGGGAGGGCTGCCGCATTGGCCCGCACCGTTTCCTCTTGCAGGCTTGTGAAGGCAGGGTGGCCCAACCTCTTCGTGTCCAAGATCAAATCCACCACTACCTGACAACGTTGCGCGCGGGCGACGGCGCCCCATCCAATGTATAAACATGAACAAAAAAGCTTTTCTGAACTGACGCCGGCTGCCTGTCTGCGAACATTTGCTTGATGGATCAATGTTTTGATCTCGTGCTCTGACGTGTGCCCGTCTTTGTTAGTCCGAAGGATCACCCGCACGACGTCGGCCAATTGCTTGCCACTGCGGGGCAAAGAGTCTGCAGGGCCGTTTGATTCCATAAAATCGTCGAGCGCGCGCAAAATCTCGTCCGTCGGCAAGGGGAAGGTGATGACGTTGCCTCTGGCGCCGTACCGGTGGCGCGCCATGTGCGCTTGCTCATCAAAAGCTGAAGTTTTCGATTGGTTTCGGTGCCGGCTTTCCATGCTCATCAAAATCATGGATGTCAAAGCTGGGCTGGCGCATACCAGCTCCATGGCCGTGACCTTGTCCTTGTAGATGCGCTTCAGGCCATAGCCTGTAAACATCTCGTTGGCGTAGCTGAGACGTGGAAGCTTGGCCTGCGTCAGGTCTTCATGGCATTGCCTGCACACAGGAAGCTCACAGTGCTCGCAGGCAATGGTCTTGTTGGCCACGTGCTCAGGCTGCGCTGTGCAGCGGTGGTCCTGACAGCAAGAAGTAACAACACCATAACCCTTCGCGGAGCCCCTCTTGCTGCGCGTGTCTCTCGTCCCTATACCGACCGTCCTCTGGGCAACACAATAGCGCTTTGTCCCCAAGTAGCAGAGTCCAATCTTCGAAGGATTCGTGGTGAGACAGTCTGGCCCCGGTTTCTGTGTTGATGATGTCGTATTTCTGCAAGTACGAGTCTAGGCCGATGAGCTCATGCACGGTCGAGAAATTCTGGCCGAAGAAATTCGCTTCCCCTTCTGGGCGCTGGCGGCGCAGTGGCTTGCGCCATTGGATATCCCCTTTGTCGCGAATCTCGTGCACATAGGGGAACACCCCGCCGCAGCACACACAGACCAAAGATTCGACCTTGTGCCAAACGGACCAGAATGCAAAAAGAAAACTTCTTTCGGAGTTGCGTGGGTTTATGAACCATAGTATGAACGACACTTGGCACGCATAAAACCCGGTTAGTCCAAAGCCTACACACAGAAACCATTTCCCCGCGCAGGCCTGTTCATCCGCCGTTGCATTTGCCAAGGATCTGAGCGCTGTGCGATCCAGAGATGCCCCTGCAAGCGGCGCTTGGCTGCGGCACTTCTCTGCGATCGCGGCCGAATAGATGCTGAACAAGGCGTCGTCCGCGCGTCCTCGGAGCATGTGTTTGGCAATTCCTTGCAAGTCTGTGGCGTGGACCTCTGCCAGGTGGTGGTGCAGTGCCTCTTCCGTTCCGTCTTGCTCGGACCAGCAGCAGCCATCGAAAGCGCAGAACACGCGCGGCCACAACGCGCCAGCGTCCTTCTCTGCCAGCGTTGCGCCTGGTGGGACAGTGGGGTGTTCTCGCAGGCGCTGCTCAGCCAAATCCTGGCAAGTTTTGCAACGCCACGCGCAACGTGAGATCAAGAGGGCGGGCGCGCCCAAAACAGAACTTCTAAATTATTGTCGCTCTACGAGCGGTCCTTGACCAAGTCCTCCACCACGCGGTGTGGGTGGGAAGATGCTTCAGCGACGCTGCCATTTGCCAGCTCTTGCAGCAAGTCAACTTCCGGGTCGGCAGGTTGCGGCGGCGCGCTCGGCGCAGTTTGCTGGGCTCCAACTGGCCTCACCGTGTGAGGTTGCGCGGCCTTGGTTTTGCTGGCGGCCTTCTTCTTCGGCTTCGCTGCGCTGAAATGAGAAGATCTCTTCGTTGGCCCAGGCGAAATGTTTGCGGCAAGGGCCGGAAATTCATCCTTGGCTTCGCAATTTGTGTTGCGGAAAGCTTTCTGAACCCAACAGCGCGTCACAAGACCATTGGAAGCTGCAGTCATTGAATTCACTCCGAGAATCTTGTTCCGGCACGGTTTCTGCTGCAACATATTCTGGGGGTGGTGGCTGTGGCCATGCGGGCGGGAATCCTGAAGGACCATCAAGCTCCACCAACGCGTCGTAGTGGTCGACTCCATTGTAGAAGATGTGGAGCATGTGGACACCGTCCTACACCACGGACGTCGCTGGCGCGCCAAACTAATTTTTCGCTCGCGCAGAAACCTGTACTGAGTGCAGGCAAGTGTCTTTGCCAGCTACGGATGGGTGACTTTGTTCATCGACCTTCACATCGCCATCGTATGGCTTCTCATGCACCATCACCCGCCTCTGTCGCATCGCGGAGTACGCAATGATCGCCATGTGTCCTCCCCAGTGGCTTTGCTCTGGGCCGCGCAAATAGTCGGCTTCTCCATGCCAGGCCTCTCACAAAGCCGAGTCCTCTTCGGCCATAATGTCCATGTGGTCAATCACCTCAGTCTTCAGCTCGGCGCCGCCGATGCCCTCGTGCAAGGCCAGGGCGTGGAAAAGGCAATTGCCGTCGCCGGCAACCTTGACCACGCACAAAGTCTTCACCTGTGTCACGTTTGCTGCCATGGATGTCCTCAAGGAACAGCGCTGCGGGTCGAACACAACCGCAAGATGAGATGAGTTTTTGCCAGAAAGAGGCCCCGTGTCCTGAAGGAGCAGCGCAAACAAAAAGCGAATTGAGATTTAAGCTTGAGAGTCAAATTGCTGCAGAGGGCACGCGGCACGCGTGAGCGAATGTTCTTTGGCGTACAAGCTAATCAAATTCATCAACGTTCGGGGCGGGCCATTATTTATTCTGCTACAGCGAGCCCTGCGCGCGTCAATGCGCGCAATCAAAGCCGGGCGTTACTGCGCCCTCTCTGCCTACATGGATGCTGGGGCACTGCCTTGTTGGAGTTCCTGTAGCGCTCCCTGCAGCCGCAGGTCCGCTGTCGCGGGCCCTTGCCCCCAATCTGCACGGCTCCACAGGAGCGTGTCTCCATCCAGCGGGCGCTGAAAACCTTCCAGAATCACTTGAACTGGGGAGGTGATTGATGAAAGGAGGCCATGTTGCCCGGCGACTTGGCGCCCCCAGTCAAGCAACGTGGCCATTTTGATATCCGCGTTGGCATCGATGTGTACTGGACGCAAGCCCTCGCCGCTCAAAGTAAAGAATTGAATCTTCAGCCGGGTGCCTTCAATTGCAAGGGAGCAAGATAGAACCATTTGAGATGCTCCTGAACGTTTGAAAATGATTGCGTGCCCAAAGTTCATATTTCCAGGCGCCTGTCGACAATCCAGCACGCAGGCGTCGCAATCTAACCAAAGCAAAGTGTACCTTGCAGCCCCGTAGGTGCCGCGGAGCATGCCCCACAAGTATTCCAAATCTTCTGCGCTTGCTGTCGCCGCCCACGGTGAGCACATGTCCGACGGCCCCCCAAGCAAAGCCTTCCGCTGGCAGAGCCCACAATCATGTGGCCAGGACGTAGCTACGACTCGGTAGGTCCATGGAAAGGGCCAGGGGCGAAAATCATCGAGAGAAGTATCCATGGCTCTGCAAGATCGCCTCCAATATTGATTGGTTTGAGTCTGAGGTTCAACTTGATGGCTGCAGCGCTTTGTTTGCATGCCCAGCAAGTCAAGAACGAAAAGCGAGACACATACTTGCTGATCTTTTCCGTGTGGCTGCTTGCTGACTGCTGGCCTTCTAAATCCTATATGTGAAACGGGTACTTTGGATCAAATCCCACACCCAATCTGGCAGCGTAAGCTGCTCTGGCAAAGCGCGCCGCAAGATGGTTTGCAGCTCAGCCAGGAAGTGCTCGGGGCATTGCTGCAACAAGTGATGCCAAACGTAGATGCCCAAGAGGCGCAGAACATATCCAGGTATGTTGCCTTGCCGCTGCTGGGCTGAAGAAGCCCAGGTGCAAAAGGCTGCCCAAAGCTGCAACTGGCCGCTGGGCCTGTTGCTGCCTGTCGACGCTTGTTGACTTGGCTCTGCACGCGTTTCTCCAGGCGCAGCAGCTTGAATCCGCAAATGGGGCTGAGCCCAAGCAGGCTGCAACTGAGACAGGTCTCCAGCCACGATGACATCGACCAGGGCGTCATAGTGGGCCACCCCATCGTAGAGGATGTGCCGGATTGGCGCGTTTCTGCTGACACTCCCATGGGTTGCATCTTGGATGCTGCACGTTCCATTGACTTGGCGGGTGTGCACGAAAACTTTGCAGCCCCTCATAGCAGAGTAGCCGATTAAGGCCACGGGCCCACCCGAGTACTTGCCCAGTGGCCCCCGCAAACGGCTGGCTTCTTCGAGCCACTCTTGTGCTGCCACGTTCCCCGGCCTACACGCAGCGCAGGCATCCAAGAAATTGGCAACCTCTTGTCTCAAAGCTTCGCCGCTGCCAACCTCGTCGATGGCCAAAGCGTGGAAAAGGCAGTTGCCGTTTGACGATTGTAGCGGCACCACGCCAAGTACCTGGCACGAGCAACGCGCGAAAAATCACCTCGTTCAAACAAACGCCTTAGAGAGACCGCAACCCTGCGTACAGCATTTTCCGGCCTTGAGGTTGGCAATGGGCTGCGAAGCCGGCATAGTGGGCGCAAGGCGTTTCCTTTATAGGGGGGCGGCCAGGTTCTTTGATCGATCAAAAGAAGCTGCAGCGGTCAAGCAGTGGTGAGCCACAGGCACACGCGCGCAAGTACTAGTTGTGACGTTGTCGTTCATGAGCGCCCTTTTCCGCAGCCAACTCCACACCAGTATTTAGGCCACGCAGCCTGTCCCGCCTGACTCGTGCAAAGCGAGCCCGGTCTACCAGTCTACCATTTCCTGAATCCATGCTGGTAAAGTTGCAGCGCGTGGCAATGTGCGCCGAAGCATGCCCTGCACTTGCTCGAGAAAAGATGTTGGGCATCGTCCGAAAAGGACTGACCAAACGTAAAAGGCCAAGACCTGCAAAACATAATCGGGAATATCTTCTGCTCTTTCCGGCCTGCAGGCCCAAATTTGAAAGGTTGCCCAAATGAGCATTTGCGACATCGCGGGGTATTCTGGCTGCTGCCTGACCAGCGGCGGCTGATCATGTTGTTGTGGGCTTGGCGCTTCTTCTGGCAACGCCAACGGAGGAGGCTGCGGCCACAAATCATCAAGCTCGCCAGAGTCCATATCAGCCCAGCGCGCTCGCGGCGCGCGCTTTGCCTTTGCCCGAGGTCTTCTTCTTGCGCGTTGGTGCGCCATGGCGACCGAAACAATGGGCAGCAGTCGCAGCCCTCAAGCGTCGTCGTGTGGCCTGCACGACGACTGCCACGCACTTTGAGCCGAATTTTGCTCAGAAAGAATCACGTTGTGGGGAGAGGCGACGGTAACTTTCTGAGCCGATCCACTTAGGCTGACCGCAGCATTACGCAGGTCCAACATCCCCACCGCGTCAATGGTGTCAGTTGCCACGCCGCCTTTTTTTCCAGCTCTTGAGCCGCGTCAGCTTGCAAGTTTCCCTGCTAATCTTGAACTCTACACCTACTAATTTAATCTTCCGGCATTTCGGCTTCGCGAAATGCAATAAGCCCGCGCACACCAAAAACATCAAAGTCCAGCAAGGCCGCCGCCTCTTCTTCTTCATCTTCATTGAGGCTGAAAAGGGCAGGGTACCATTCATAGTGCCACGTTCCTGCAGAAAGCACTCCCATAGCTTCCTCAACAAAGGGGTCTGCTTCATTGAGCTGACTCGCGGCGCTCAGTATGTCTGCAGTCAGGAATCTCTCCATCAATACTTCACGCAAGGCTGCCAGTTCATGCGCAGTGGCTGGGCCCGAGCGACCAAGCAACCTTCTGTGCCAACGCAGTGACCAGTTGTTGTTGAAGCGCCGGGGCACGCCAAGCAAATGCACGTGCGCCATCACGTCCCCAGCAAAACCCGGCCACCCCAAGAGATGCCTGTTCAAACATAGCAAGGGGCCAGC